GATCTTGTTCCTTGTTAGATCGATTATTTGTCAAAGAAAGTTAGGAAGAGAAGGGATGACTTAGAGACAGGGGATTGAAAGAATAAAATTAATGGAGCATATCCCTTAGCACGGTACTTTCAGAAGCCTCTATTGAAGTTCACATTCTTCACTGCCCAGACTTTATGTTGAATCTTCAAGGCTGCTGGTTTTTTTTTTCAACTTGGTCCGTCTGATAGTGCTATTTTGGAAGCTGAACCTTCAAGAGAACCATTTCGGTATCTTTGTTAGCAAGATCAATTGTCATAGCTTCTAACGCTGGCCTGAGTTTCTCATAACAGAAAGATTGGTAAAATCAATTTACTCAAGGCCTCCGAGATGAATAGATCAATAACTGAGGAACCATTTCATCATCATTTTTTTCATTCATTTTTTTCATTTCTTTAATCAGACACCCTTCTAATCAGAATACTTTGAGTTCATATCGGGTTCACAAACTTCTTCCTTCATGAACATCATCCTTTCCACTTCTTCCTTTTGCTAGGTGGACCTGGTCCCTCTTCACACTTAAAAACATCTTTATTAGAAAGTTCTTTAGTAAGAACAGATGGTTTAACCATTTGAAGTGTTTTTTGAGAAAGGATAAAAGAAGGTTACGAAAAAAAATCTAATATTTTGGAAGGGGATTTGAAAAGAAATATGGAGTATAAAGGAAGAGAAAGGAAGTGTCATTTTGGTACTCAAATGATGATATAGCGGTCAGATACCTGAATGACAGACATGTGGCAATTGCAACAGTTCTGGTGCATAATTCAACTGTAATGTTAAGAGTGCTAACCTTCGAGAACGGACCAGGTCCCTCTCTGTAGTTTGAATGTGATTGCCTAGATCTGCCCTGACCTCCCTTTGCCTTCAACCCTTTTCCCATGTGTGTATACCTACAAAAGGTATAAGACTAAATTTGCTAAAACATACATAACTGAAAAACAAGGATACCTACTCTCTTTGCATAGTCATTAGAGAGTTGATTGCTTCAGGCATGATCCATTCAATCCGGTTTCAACATTCCCAACTTCAGTTTGATTATCTCAGTCAGGTCTTCTAAGAGCTTCAAGTTGTTGCTTGATCTACAATAATTGATCATATCAAGCTGCACTTGCTACATTCTCTGCCTTAGTTGATGAAAGAGCATCTGAATCTTGCGTTTTAGTTCCCCGTAAGTAAGAGATCAACATATAGCATAAGCCACTCTTGAGGTACTCTTTCCATCAACTTGATACCCATCATAATCAGCATAACCATGTACTCCAAATCAAATGTCTCCTGATGGACAGAATAGGACCGGGTCCCTTGTCTTCTGCAAATGTCTCAAGATTCTCTCTGCAGCCTTCAAATGTGATTCCTTTGCATAAGAACGGAATATCTGAACCAGGTTCATCAACATGCATCTTCAAGTTAGTGCCCATCAGAGTATGACTTGTCTAGCCATCCATAACATGAAACCTTTTCAGCACCTTCTTTGAACTGGTACCAGGTCCCTGTCTTTGTTCAAACATCAATTGCCCTGATCATGATGTGTTATGTTCTTTCCTTCAGCTAAGTCACAGTGAGTACATACATGTTCTTGACAAACTGGTCCTTGCTTAAGCCGTGGGTGAAGATGTCAGCTACTTGATCTTTCATTTTGCAAATCTTCATGATGACATTACCCTTTTTTAACATTGTCTTGACTTCAAGTATTATATGCCTTTTGAGCAGCTCCTTGATGTATTTTTCTGGACAGCCAAGGGTACCTTTAAAGGTTTGCTGAATGTGTAACTCTAAGAAGGAATATCCCATCGTGCTCATTTAGAGCTCACTACCCATGAATGCGGCAAACTCTTCAAACAATAATTCAAAAGGTTGATCCAAAGATGACATCATTGATATACACTTGAATAATCAGCAATTCTTTTCCTTGTGATTTCAAAGAGAGGGTTTTGACAATTTTACCTTTTTGAAGCCATTGTAAAAGAGAAAGTTGGACAACCTATCAGCTTCTTGGGGAACCGAGTGTCATACTTCGCTTCTTTCAAACTTAGCTTGATCAGCTTCTTCATTCTCACCTTCAGAATTCACATTATCAGTTTGAACTGCATCATCTTTGTTCAGCACTGTCTACAGGACCGGGTCCCTTATCAGGTTCATAATCTGCATCAACTTCCTTGAGATTGCTAGATTCATGAAAAGGAAATTCTTCAGCAAGCTCACTGTTTAGACCATCTCTTTGAATCTAAAGCAGCCTTTCCATCTAAGAATCTTCTTTTTTTGCAACTTCTCAATTCTTTCGGACTCATCAAAAATCACATGACCACCTTATTATATGCCCGATATGTCATGCTGGAGAAAGAGTATCCCAAAAATACTCTTTCAACATCATTGAGATTACACTTCTCATTATCATCATTTTGGTCACAAAATATGTACTATTCATGAAGGATACCTAGGCTATTGTTCATCAGATCTTTTTCAGTTGTCAACTCAATGAAAGAACCGATCAAAATAGCGGCTAGACTTCTCAACTTCTTAACACAGTAAACATGCAAGTTTTGTTTAAGATCAGAAAAGGTTACCTCTTCTTCATCTTCCTCATCATCAAATTTTTCCATAAAGGCTTCATCAGAGTGCTCAGAGTCATCTGAAACACTCGAAGAGTCTTCCCATGCAGTCATATCCCTCTTTACCGTCTGGAAAAAATTTCTCTTCTGCTACTGCTGGCACGGACCTGGTCCCCCTCTTGTTCTTTTACTTCCTTGTGATCAACTTCAAGCATAGGACAGTCTCTCATGGTGTGACCTGGTTGATCACGCTTGTAACACATGTCACTAGAGCTTGTAACGTTGTAATGAGCTTCTTCCTTCATGGAACCTCCACGTTTACTCACAAGTTTTTGAATTTTTTGAGTGAGATAGTCCATGGTCTCATCTACTTCAAGGTTCTCACATTGTGACACCTTGGAGGCTAGTGATTCATCCCTTTCTGCATCTCCCTTCTGATCAGCATCCCCAGTCAGATCTGCCCTTGTTTCCTTATAGGTAGTTCTCAGCAGATCCCAAATTTCTTTAGCTGATTCGTACGAAGAAATCAGATTATATAAATTAGGTCTGATTCCACACATTAAGAACTTCTTAGCCTTGTGATTTTTCTCAACTTTCTGTTTGTCAAATTCATTGTATTGCTATCGAGTTTTGACAACGACCCTTGTGACATCCCTATATTTTACTTCTATAGATGGCACATAGGGATCCTCACAAATAACATCCCACAGCTCACAGTCTTCAACCATTATGAAGTCAAACATGCAATGTTTCCCCCACCGATAATATTGACCATCAAACAAGGGTGGCCTTGTTGAAGACCGACCTTCTTGCCATCTCAGTGCAGCAACCATTGTTTCCACAGTAATCTCTCTTGGTGTTAACCAGCTAGAGAGCACCTGCTCCGATACCACTTGTTGGAATGTATGCATCCACTTATCAGTCAAGGACCAGGTCCTTTGACTCAGCAAGAACAGTAACTAAAAATATGCGTCCACTTGTTTCGATGGGTCCAGGTCCTCAGCACAGTTACAATAATAAACAGTAAAATAAGTGCTGAAAGTAAAGATTGATCAAGCAACTTTACGTGGAAACCTCCTTACTCAAGGGAGTAAAACCACGACCTGTCTCACAGGACTTTTCAAACTGCTTCCACTAATCTTCTCCAAGCAAAAGTAAAAGTCAGTTTACAAAATGAGATTAGCCTGCTAATCTCCACACTAAGCAATACCTTCTATCACTTAGCTGAGCTAGAGCAGATATAACACTGTCCACTATACTAACCCTCACTGATTAATATAGACTTTTCTAAGCGGATACCACACCGCCCACTAAACCACCTAACTCTATATGATTTAGAATTTGACTAAGCAACACACAGGTTCCCCACTAAACCACCACCCTCTAGACGATTTAGACTTTTAGAAATCGAAACAAGATCTAAATCCTTTATAGATTAGGAACAGATTTACAATGTAAGCACGAAAGTATAACTCCTGAGACACACTATGACGCTTGCAACTCGATCTGGTTCTTGTTGCGCTTGTAGGAGAATACTTCTCCAATATGGTCTTTGCCTATATACTTGAGAATTTTCAAGATGCAAAGACTGACAAAACTCAAACTCAACAAAGACGTTTCAACACTCTATCAGGTCCCTTTGTTGAGCATGAGTATTGTTCTTTTGGAATACCTCCATATGTTGAAGACCTCCTTAAGAACCGATTAGCTTGAACAAATGGAGGTACTTTGATACCCATTGTCTCAAGGAATATTTTCTAATTCTAAATGATGAAGGAAAAGAAAAAAAAAACTTGGAGGATCACGGATAAAATGAAAGTTCTTTGAATGTCAGGATACTTGTGCTCTGCTGAAATGTTTGGCTCTGATTATACATAAATTTATGACAAGTTTCATATCCAAATGCTTAGTGGTTGAGAGAAATTGGTGGCAACTGGAAAGACAATGACACATGAAATTTCACATGGTTTGCCTTCTCTGTTGTTGTTAAAGTATTCAGATCATAAATTTGTTAGATGTACAACATTAGGCCCTACTACTTCTCATGATTTGGAACAGAAGAAGAAACCTTTACTATGACATCCACAAGAAAGGATAAGTTGATTAATTAGGTTTTAATGAAACCAGAACCACTTGGTTTAAAGATATGGTGGCAGAGAAATGAATAAATGCACCAATCTCTTTGATTAAAATTACACAACCAGCAACGTCCACAAGTCCTTAGGTCCCATATTAGACAGCATCACATGATTCTGTCTTAGCAATTCAAAGTCATTCTGAAGCCTCAACTATATATAATCTCTTTCCATGAGCCATTTTGATCATCAAGCAGATAGCACTAAATCAATCTTTTAAAAGATCATCAACTTTTCTTTCCATTATTTCAAACAAATCAACATGATCAGTGCTAAGAAACTCATCAAGATGGCAAGGAAATGGCAGAAGTTCGCAGCGAATCAGAGGAAGAGAATTTCTTTTCCAAGATCCAATTACAATGATGCAGAGAGTTGCAGCACAACATCTATAGTTGACAAAGGTCATTTTGTGGTGTATACAACTGATCAGAAGCGATTTGTGGTTCCGTTGGCTTATCTTCAAAACGAGGTAATCAGACAACTGTTGCACATGTCTGAAGAAGAGTTTGGACTACCAAGTGATGGCCCCATCACGTTACCGTGTGATGCACTATTCATGAACTACATTACATCACTCATCAGAAGAGGTGTATCTACAGATTTTCAAAATGCTTTGCTTGTAACAGTTGCTTCCAGTCGATGCTTAGCAGCTTCATATCTTGAAGAACAAAGAAACCCGCAATTGCTAGTTTGTTAAGCTAACTGTGATAAATTTTGTAACATGATACTCAACAAGTGTATAGAATATTAACATCTAATTTTTAATCAGAAACTACATATTCTTGCCTTCAAATTGGTCTATTCCATTATAATTTAGGAAATTCACGTTTCTTTTTATAGGCTTCCTAATAGTCTTGCACCGAAAATATCTATCTTGTGGCTTTCACATCCAGGGGATAAGGAAATTTTCCCAATTCATAGAAATTTATGTCAAAATCTTGTTCTTTCAATCAAGGTAAAAGTGAACTTTTCTCTACAAGACAACTGACAAAATTGCAAAAGTATGCACCAGCTTTTTCAGATTCTGCGAAAGACTAATTTCAACTAAGATGATCTAGTAATTTATTTCTTGCTAATCTTGCCCTTTGAGTAAATTTAAAAACAATTTTAACTATCAAGTTTCAATTTACAAGCAATTACAATAATAATAGCCGAACATTATGAAGTCCAAAATAACTTATTAATGTTGTATATTGAAAAAGGAAGTTAATCCTTTCCTTCCACTCCTGTTCCGCAGTCGATCTACGAGAAAAAAGTAAAGAAAAAAGGTTCCAACATAGAATGCATTTACTGTTTTATGTATTTCACTCCTCAGCACGATGCATATTCAACTGGCCAAGCTAAGAACTAGAAAGCGTTGCGCGTTTCTTTAAGAATCCACAGTATATCATTTATTTGTTTGATGGAATGAATGAACAAAGAAGAGTCTATAAAGTAGATTAAAGATCTAAAACTGAAAGTTTTGCTGTTTGAAAATGGAAAGATATGATAAAAGAGCAACCTTTAGAGCAATATAAAGGAGTAGATTCAGAAATCTAAATAGATAACCTGTTAACACATAGTCTTTGTGAAGTTTTTTTTTTTTTTTTTTTTTTTTTTTTTACAATGAAATTTCTGTTTCTACAATCTCCTCTTTATAATTTCTAATCCTATTGCTTTACAAAATATCATTCATTGAAGAATTTGCGCTATGATACTACTCATGATCTTCTTAAGCGGGGAGTAAGATCAACGAACACATTCTCTTTGTAACGTACTGTGAGACCACCCATCGGATGATCAAAGCGAAACTCTTCTTCAGTCTGAGCTAACAAGTCTTGAAATAAAGGCTGGCTCAAGTAAGAGACTGGCACAACGAATCTCTTCTTCTGACTCTCTCCTACGTATACTGCACAATGTCCTTTTGGAACATCTCCATATGTTGAAGACCTCCTTAAGAACCGATTAGCTTGAACAAATGGAGTCACTTTGATACCCATTGTTTCAAGGGATATTTTGTAATACTAAATGATGAAGGAAAAGAAAGAAAAAAAACTTGGAGGATCACGGATAAAATTAAAGTTCTTTGAATGTCAGGATACTTGTGTTAGACTGAAATGTTTGGCTCTGATTATATATAAATTTATGACAAGTTTCACATCCAAATGTTAGTGGTTAAGGGAAATTGGTGGCAACTGGATAGACAATGGCACATGAAATTTCACATGGTTTGCCTTCTCTTTTGTTGTTAAAGTATTCAGATCATAAATTTGTTAGATGTACAACATTAGGCCCTGCTACTTCTTATTATTTGGAACAAAAGAAGAAACCTTTACTATGACATCCACAAGAAAGGATAAGTTGATTAATTAGTCCAGGACCACTTGGTTTAAAGATATGGTGATAGAGGAATGAATAAATGCACAACCAGCCATGTTCACAAGTCCTTAGGTTTAGGTCCCATATTAAACAGCATCACATGATTCTGTCTAGCATACTTATTCCAGGTTGGCAACTTTAGCTACAATTCAAACTCTCAACTATATATAATCTGTTTCCGTGAACCGTTGATCATCAAGAAGATAGCACTAAATCAAATCTTTTAAAAGATCATCAACTTTTTCTTTTGATGTTCCAAAGAAATCAGTATGATAAGCGCCAAGAAACTCATCAAGATGGCAAGGAAATGGCAAAAGTTTGCAGCTAAGCAGAGGAAGAGAATTTCTTTTCCAAGATCCAATTACAATGATGCAGAGAGTTGTAGCACATCATCTTCTATAGTTGACAAAGGTCACTTTGTGGTGTATACAACCGATCAAAAGCGATTTGTGGTTCCATTGACTTATCTTCAACACGACGTAATCAGACAACTGTTGCACATGTCTGAAGAAGAGTTTGGACTTCCAAGTGATGGCCCTATTACATTACCATGTGATGCACTGTTCATGAACTATATCATATCACTCGTCGAAAGAGGTGTAGCCACAGATCTTCAGAATGATTTGCTAATTTCTGTACCTTCCAATCGATGTTTATCTGCTTCATATCTTCAAGAACAACGAAATCTAGAATTGCTAGTTTGTTAAGCTAACTGTAACATTTTTTTTAGTAGATACATGGTACTAAACAAATTTATAGAATGTTAACATTTATTATTCATCAAAAACACCATTTTCTTGACTCCAACTTATTCTATTCCTTGCGTTATTTGCAAAGTTGTTTGATACGGGTAACAGGTACTATATGTAGAATAGTTGCAGTGCGCATATAATTTTCAAAAGTACAGTATGAGTTTAGTGCCAAAAACCTTAATGGATAAACATCAATTTTAAATCATAAATTGATCTACCAGTTTTGAGTCCTCAACTCTTCATTCAAAGGACTCAAATTATTGGCATTGGTGAGAAGTCATAAGCATGAATTGATCACATAACTTATAATTTAATTTGAAATCCAATACATAAATTTTCTTGGAATAAACAGTGTATTACTAGTAGCAATTAGACAATCAGTAACAGGTAAAATAAAATAAAGTCACGGCTTCAATCACATCTCTGACAACTTTGATAAATACATTTCAAAACCAAATATTTGCAAGCAATTGATAAACTTACCAGTAAATAGGTTCTTACATGAGTTCGTAAATAAAGAAGAGAAAAAGAAACACGTCTTGGCCATATATAAGCAAATCTTAAATAAGTAATTTTGGAGAGATCAAACTTTTTGTATAAACAATTCCTTCCTGGAAGAAACATTGAGACGATAATCCAAATTGTCCTTTGGACGTCCTTAATACATCCCCGCGCCATATCCTTGACTAGGCATGTCAAGTCTACAATGTAGTAGCACTTCATCATCTACCTACCTATATTCGGTTAGGCAAAATAATTATTGGAAGCACGTAAATGTAAACAATTCGATCCAAGATTCCACAACATTATAGTGTTTCATTCCTCCACAATTGAAAAGTGACGCACTCCCAATTTCGAAATGCCATAATTGGAGCTCTGTATGTGGTGAACTCTATATGATGATTATCACGACCCAGGGGTACCCCTAGATGTAACATGGCGTATAGGACCCCGAGGGACCCCATACAAGCCACTTAGCATCCATAGCATAGGAAATAGAACAATAAGAGTAAAACAAACATTTCAAGTTCAATAGTTTTATAAAATAAAAGCGGAAGTCTAAAACACTTGTCTCAATATCCATCTAATACAATAGAATGAAATTGGGCCTAGCTCATACATCATGTCCAAAACTGGAAATAAGAAAGAAAACTGAAACAATAGAATCCGTCCTCGAAACATGAGGACTCACCCAAAGCTCGGGAATCTCGAAATCAACCACTAGAAACGAAAATGAGAAACCTAACTGTCGGACCCTACATTTGGGAAAATGTAGGCAAGAGTATGCGTTAGTACAAATAATATACCAAGTATGATATCTATGCAAAAAATATTTATATCATGCTAAAAGAGGACATTTCATGACATGCAATTGACCAAGCTAAAACATGATATAAAAGGGTTAGAAAACTAAGTCATAAAACATGATCAATGCAAACTAACATCATTTAAAGCATTTGAACACATGTGTGATACTTCTTGAAGTAACCTTAGTTCATTATTAATGTGGAAAGTAACCTTAACCGACATAGAGACCATATGAGCTACAACATGATCCCCGGGTGTCTCCCACAACAAAAAGGGTTGTCCTACTTGCCAAGGTAAGGACCATAACTTCTAGCTTAGGTGGATCCTCTAGCTAATGTCTATCTAGACAATCATCCTATGGGGGAACATAGGTAAGGGATAAGGAGATTGCTTCTAGAAACCCGACCTCTACTAACGGGAGAGCTTCTATCTCAATATCCTTTCGGTGCTAAGCATAAATCCCACAGAATAGTGATTTCTTACTTGCTCTTATTATCCGTGGAAAGGCACACCATCTTGCCAATCCAAACTAAGTCATCATCCATGGAAAGGTATCATTCAATAACCAATCCAATCTAGGTTTCATTAGGATAGCTCTTAATCTTTGATTCAATTAGGTGAGAAGACCTTCCAACCTTAGAATCCTTATTATGTGAGAAAACCTTTCACATCATGCGTTCATGTGTATATGAGAACAATCCTTTCAACAAAACAACAACAACATCATCATTGATACTTTACTCTCAAAGCATCCTTAAAACATTTGCATAGATTTCATAAGAACATGCATAATTCCATAATTTACCTTTCAAGGTTCAACACCCAGTTTCAATCATCAACATTTAGAAAACATGGGTTGGATATAGCTTTCATCATAAATTCATGTAATTTTATCAATACATGCTTGATTTCATTAAACTTTTCCTTCATAATCAAAATCTCACATCATATGATTCATAACTTGAAAAACATGGGGATTACATGGGTTCAAATCATAGTATTCATCAGTTCATGCATAAGAGATCATAATTCAATCTATTAAATCAATAGTCAAGAGAACCCACGACAATTCAAGAAAACCCTAACTCAATTGGGGATTTCTAACTTTGAAAATAGAGGAATTTGGGAACTCCATGAATGGAAGGAATCCATGGATGGAAACTATCGTACTTTGAAGCCAATTATTAATCTTCAATGGAGGAATATGGAGACTTGCCTTGAAACCCTAGGTTGAACCCTTCTTCTTCAAGTTTTCTAGAGAGAGAAATATTTTGGAGAG